TCAAATTCTTGCGTTATTTAATTACAACGACTACCATCTCTACCAAAACCAGTAGATCCTACACAGATTCTCACTTTTCGAATTCAAACAACAAGCAAGTGAGAAAACAAACCAACGTCCACTTGCTATATAGATCACTCGTCACATAGATCATGAGCAACGCACTTACCATACAAACAACCTAAACAAGAGGATGGCTTCCTCTATCCAACAGACGCTTCAACGCCAAAGCAGGGTTGGCTTGCAGAGCTTGGCATTCTTGTCAGCATGATGCTCGAGGATGTGTCGCCCCATGCAAAGCTTTCCGGAAGAGTCGCAGATCCACTCGTCTTTCTTTCCTCCCTTTTCACGGCAAGTCCTGCACACAGTTGTTACTGACTTCTTGCATACAATGCATTTGCCCTGAAGTGCGTGTGTTGGCTTGTTGGCCTTCTTCTTCTTCGTGGGAGTGGGTCCTGTCATGTGGTAAGTGGAAGGAAGTGAGTCAATGCCGGCAACACCTTCCTCATTGGCATGTTCTCTCTCTGTCCTCTTTCTGAGAGCTCTTTCCTCATAGGTGTTGTCAATGAGCTGCTCTGCAAGGATCTCCACAAAGTCGCGAGGATTCCATTCAAAGTTTGTCTGGCAACCACGTGCAAGCTCATAGGAATCAACAACACACATTGAGAAGATGGACATGTTGACACGACGCGACCACTTCTTCGTTTGCACCTTCTTTTCCACTTGAAGTGCCTGTTGGCGGGTCCTGTTGTGCTGGTCAATGGTGCCGCATGCAGAGTAGTACTTGTCACAAGCTTCAGGCTGTGGAATGGACACTTGAACTCTTTCAGCCGGTACATTGATATCAGAATCAACCTGTCGCCATCGCCAACGATTACACGGAGGACCAGGAGCAGTAGAGCTGCATGTAGAGATAAAGTAGCGACGTCCCTGTCAACCCACACATATGCCATTAGGTCAGTTCCTGTTTCTTCATCTCGGATGTCACGCCTTTTGGTCCCACGACCACTCACAAGGGCAATGTAGAAAGGTATTCATCAGACCTTGATCCACTTTGGTCCGTAGAATTCTACTAGTTAATGGTAAGAGGTCACCTTTCTGAAGTGAATTAACGCAAATTGGGTGTTATCTAACGATTTTTGCCGGTCTGCTGGACACTAGCATTGACTGAGCCAATATAGAGGACCCCTATTTCCCAGACATGCAAAGGTGTCCACTTGGGAGGGGCCTCCAACTGCAAGGTCCGGAAACGCAACTGGTACCCACATATTAATATTTTCAATTTTTTCCACGACTGTCCAAACCTGCACACATGGGACTGCAGTTTCTCATTCACGCGATAGTTTCTCACATAGTTTCTCATTTAGACCGAAATGAGAAACTAATTTTCTCAAAATGAGAAACTAAGCTGATAGTTTCTCATTTGAGAAATTACTTTCTCATTTGAGAAACTACGCTCAAATGAGAAACTACACCACCACAACAACCACACGCACCACAACACGCATTGGCAACAATTACACAGAGAGCCATTAAGCTAGATTATATTTCTTGAGCTTTGCAAGCTGCTTCTCCCGCTTCTTCTCCGTCTTGTCGAACAAGAACGCCTCGCGTTTCATTTTCTTGCACTCTTGATAGATGCGATCCCGAAATCTCTCAAGAGCATACACTTTGTATTCGTCTCTTGTTGCATGTAAAAACCTGGGTAGCAGCTCAAGATGCTTGCCAGCTTCGATGTCATCCATCAATTTCTCTTGTGCAACCGAGCCCTGCCACATTGGCTCACCCCAAACGTCCTGTGTTGGTTGAGCAAATATTTGTCGATCATGGACCAATGCTGTTGCATCTCGTGCCGATTGGCTATCTTTTTCTTTTATCCTTAGCAAAAGACGTTTCAATCGGCCAATAAATGTGTCGCTGAATGGGTAGGGCTTGAACTCATCTGCGTCTTTGCAATGGGTATCGTAAACCTCCTTTGGATCGTCCCCATCTTCAATTTGCCCATCAGCTATCAGATTGTAAAGCAAAGTGCGTGCTGGACTATCTTTCCATGGCGGTACTTTGGGTTTTTTGGGTGGCATTTTTCAGGTGTGCTATTCCACAGAGAATGAGGATGACGCTGGATGTTGGATGGTGGACAGAGGGCCACAAGCGCTTTTGTCGGAGATCTTTGTTGTCGACGTGTTCTGCGAATACTCCTCAGCAGTCATTGAGCTAGAAATTGAAAATACAAATCAATAGAATCTTTCTTGCTCATGCTAGGGGTTGGATGGTATTCTTCAATGCCAACAAAAGATCTTTTTCAATGATCGGTTTCAACAACCATTTCGTTAGCCAAATGCACAAGCTCAAAAGGAGTGAATGGTGAGGACCCGAAGGAAGACAGCAAAGGCAAGAGAAGAGCAGCAGAGTGAGGATCGATCAAGGAGGAGGCGAAGTCCAAGCACATCTAGCTCTGATAGCTCTGTGGCCCGGCCTGTATTGGGATCGCCACAGCCATCTATTGGGAGCCCAGCGGGGAGTGTCCGAAGCTCAGGAAGCAGAAGGCTCAATCCTTCTCGTACAAACGCGGCTGGTCTTTCAGAGGCTTTCCAAATCCAACTTGCAACTGACCTTGAGAAGGCGGGAGGTGTTCTTGCTGTTAGGTATTGTGGGATTCTGCAGGAGCAACACTCAACTCTACGGAACGGACACTCAGAAGAAGCTAAGGACGCAGGTTCCCAGCAAGATCAAATATTGGGAGAAGATCCACAAGCAAGGAACTGGTTATATTGAGCTCCTGGATAGCTGGCAGATCTACATTTCTGGAGAGACCCGCAATTATCAGAGAGCGACAGCAGCAGCACAAGAAGCAAGCGTTCCTCGAAGCATTCAGTTTGCTGAAGACGATAACAGTTCTTTCACCACAGCTGAAACATTATCTTTTGGTCCGACTCCTTCAAGTGATCCAAGTTCTGCTGCTGTACTTGAATCAGCTCTTACTTTTGAGTCAATTGCTGCAACAAATACTGATCCAATTGTTACAATGTCTGGGATGGGAAGCTATCGTTCTCCCGCAGCAGCTCCTGCTGGGGCTGCTGCCGGTGGTCTTACTCGTAAGCACAGATGCAGCGGTCTTCTTCTTTTTGTCTCACTTGCTCTAACGCTTGCTTGTTTGCCCATTGCTCACAGAGGGTGTGAAAGTCAATGTCGGGTTTTTGGAGCGGACTCCAGATCCAATCAAGGTGTTCACAGCACGAGATCTCCAAGGTGTCCAGCAAACCGATCTGTTTGCTGGTTTCATCATTTCCATGCGTGTTCCGGATATCCGGGATTTGCTTGGTCATGGTGATGACAAACCAAATCCACATCACTTTAAAGCCAAGCTTATTTCGATGGGAAGCACGACGACAGGTGCCAAAGTCGGCATCACGGCACCTGCTCTTGATTGGCATTTCTCCGGAAAAGACGATGACCTTGCGAAGGCTGTATTGATTGGCGCTGATGACCAAGGCATCCATAATGCACTCGATACAGTGTATCACAAAATGAGCAACGATCCTCAGAGGAGTGGCAATATGAAGACCATTATTGTGGAGTTTCCAGCTGGCTACACGCTCTCATCCGAAGCTTTGTTGTGTAACAAAGACACACCCGATCCCAAGGTCGACATGGAGCTTGAGGTTCTCCCTGTCTTCGTTGACTGTGATGGGATTGCGCCTCCAGACGATACGTGGGAACAAGGTCAAGACAGCAATGGGCAGAAATGTATGATCTGCACGAAAACGGTCTACAAGTTCCCAGCTTTTCGTTTGCAGTGGCGCGTTGCTATTCAAGAAGAGGTATCCAAGCGTGGCCGGGGGGAAAAGAAAAAGCAAGCAAATCAAACTGCTGGACAAGCTGCTTTCTTGAAGTCGATGAGCAGGATGAAAACCGGTTAGCATCTGCTTTTATTGTTGTTGTTGTTGTTTGGAATGGTTGCAAGGTAGCATCTAACAAGATAGCAACGTTTGCACTAAAATCGTACACTCGCAGGACCTCCAGATCCTCCTTTCGTAGTATCCGCAGTAGCAGGATCGACACCAGTGCCAGCTCCTGTGCCAGCGCCATCTCTCCCAAATTATGACGACGACAAAATCAACAACATCGTCGGCATGGGTTATGACAAGGGATTGGTTGTGAAGGCACTCCATGCAGCCAGTGGAAACGCTGACAAAGCCCTGGATTTTCTATCATCCGGAATTGTTGAAAATGATTCAGCATTTGTTGATGAAGCCATTGATAGCATGAAAGCATTGATTGATGAGGGGACCACTACCATTGACGCAATGATGAACGATGAATCACAACTAAAGAAACGTTCGATCAATGACTCCTCCTCCGAACGTGGGGATTACTAATAGCAACAAGCAAGGATATCAAATCACGAGATAATAAATAATAGTACGAAAAACACAAATCCAGCAACAAGTATTACGAATTACGGTGCTACTACAACTAGACAAAGAACAACGGGCCATCGTTATCCATATCCACCTGCACGAGCACTGAACAAGCAAAAAAACATGCTTGATGCTTGGCGGCCACGTCACCCACCGTAGCTCGGTCATGGCCGTGTCGAAAACGGATGTCGAGCACGGCAAAGTTCTTAATCCTCGAATTGAAAGTCTCTTGGCGAGACATGGCTCGTCCCTTGAAATCACGAACATCCTGGTTGTCATGTGAGCTGGGTGTAGAAATCAATTCAGGTTCCCCGCGGTACCCTCTATCCCCAATGGCTAGCTTACCGGGAGCTTTCTCTTCCATCTGCTTCTTGAGCTTGGAGCGAAAGACGCTGATATCATGCTTCGCCGCAGGGAATGGTCCCTCAATCCAAACACATTTGTTGGTAAAAATGGAAAGCGCAACCTCATAATCAAAGGCTGCTTTTTTGAATTTGTGAGAGTAATACTGCTTGTTTTCGGAAAACTCTTGATGAGTGGGCTCCTCAATCATGCAATGCACACCGTCAACAGAGATAATGAAGGTTGTTTCGGCATTGGGATGATGTGTATTGTTGGGGTTGTTCCACCGAGACGGCCATTTGATGATCTTGATCTTGAGAGCAGCAATCTTCTTTACGTAGAACCAATTCCATTTGCGATAAGTCCGACACACCAAACCGAGCTTCACCTTCATTCTCAGTGGGGTAGCACGCCAAAAAATTCACTGCCATCAGAAAGTTTTTGAAATCCGCGACGTCTGGGGATATCCATGCGTTTTCATGATCAGTGGTGAGCAGCATCTTCCAAACTATAGATAACACAACCGGTTTGACCGCAAAGTGGGTTCGAAAGCGCTCCATGTTCTTCTTGGCATTGACGCTGTCAATCCGTGCCTCTTCGAATCCAACAGTGAGCAGCCCAACGCGCAGAACTTCATCTGCCGAAAGAAATAGATCTTCAGCCATGGTAACCCAACAACACTAAAATTTAGTTTGGCATGGCAGAACAGTGTTATTTGTGTGGTGGGTAGCCGCCTTGCCCAACAACAGAAGCAAGCTTGCTAGCTGACTACGTGGCTTGGAGCTTGGTATGTAGTTTCTCAAATGAGAAAATAGTTTCTCAAATGAGAAACTACCCATTTTAGTTTCTCATTTGCGCGAAAATGAGAAACTAACTTTCTCATTTCGTCAAATGAGAAACTGTAGTTTCTCAGGTTAGGGTTACTACTGAAACGTGGATTGAGGTAGTTTCACGGGACAAACGATAACACGACTAAAATCCGGTCCGTTTCCGGACCTTGCTGACCTCCCACCAGAGAAAAATAAACCTCCAATTGGCTGGCATGGATGCAATTTCTCCATGGTCCACAAAACCACAACTACTATTTTAGAATAGTACGGTACTGGTACCAGTAGCTACCGCTAGCTAGCTATTCGATCTAGCTAGCTAGCTAGCTAGAGGGGAACAACCTTTTAAAAAAAGTAATTGTTACTTTTGGAGTGTAGCCTTCACGTACTGTACTCACACCATACCATAGACTAAAGACTAATGTATTTTCAGTGAAGGTCAACCAACCTTTGACAGCTCCTTTGAACACCATTTCAGGCCCCTGCAAGGTCGAAATAACCATTGGTAGATCCTTCTTCAGGTAGGTGAGGAAAGACATGGGTGTTTACAGTCTGTTGGGTTGAGTTCTTCCCGTCCCGCACGGCCGTACGGTAATGGTACCGGTTTAGGGGAAGCTGCGTTTTCAATGAAGGCACAGGAGACTGTCACAGCTCTGATACTCTACTGAATTCAATCAACCGTCGCTCTACGGAACTGGCTACAGCCAGCTCGATATGTTCGCGGGTACCGGTATGCCCGTCGATTAGGAGCCGACTATACACACCAAGAAGCATAATGCAGATTTATACACGCTTGAAAGGTAGAACATAGCAAAGTGTATCCATTCATTGAATGTTCATTGAATGGAAAATATTCAGCAGGCAATAGAAACATGCACCAAGAAGCCGGGAACGCAAACCTGGACGGCCTCGACCTAACTGTAATCATCAGGTCTTGAAAGATCGGAGTTCATCTCGATTCAATTTTTGAATGATTCGGGCTTCTGCATGGTACATGCCAATGACGTGGTCTGATGATGCATGAAGCATCCTCCGCGGCCATGTGTCTGTGGCCTTCGACGGACCAGCCATGCACACGTGCACAAGGGCAAAGTTGCTGCTTCCGACCAAACCTCCTTGCTTTTTCTTTCGTTCTACAGATTTCTACTCTTTCTTGGATTTGGATGTTGCTGCCGGCGCACTCCGGTATTGTTGCTTCTCTTTTGAAGGTGAATCCTCGAGAAAGGTTGTCAATCGGTACGTCACCAAGAGCCATCCAGCAGCCACTGCCACCAGCGCCAATGACAGATACTGCAACCCTGACTGCGATCCAAAGTAGACGGTCACAAGGGAGAGACCAATCGCTACCAACGACTTGCCCACACGATTCACAAAGACGCCAATAATCTCTTTGCCCAGGAATCGACTTTCGTAGTCCAAATTCACGTAAACCATTTCTGTTGTTACTCCTCGTACGGAATACTCCATGGCTTTCATAAGAAGAAAAGATCCCGACACGGAGTGAATACTCCCGGCATGTTGCAGGCTGATGAAAACAGCACAAACCGTCATGATGGTAGGCATGACGAGCCACAATTGTCGATTGTTGAGTCGTCTGGCCAAGAATGGCAGTACAAGAAACTGTAGCACTCCACTGAATCCGTTTATGCAGGCATAACACTGTAACCAGATAAATACAAGTTTGAGAGGGCAGGTAAGTCATTGGAAGATCGGAAGGCACGTTTTAATTTTCTTCTCTTGTTGTTGGCCTACATTTCCGGTATACCTTGCTCTCTCGTCGTCTTCCGGAATGGAATCTTTGAGTTTGAGTACAAAGAGTGAATTGAGCAAGGACGATTGTGCTTGGGAGAAGATAACTTCAAAGCATAGCGCTCCGAGCAAGGGCACTCTTTGAAAGAGCGCAATGGCTCGTTGGAATAGATTCTTGCCATCATTCTTGGCAATGGTTTTCTTTTCATTTTCTTTGGGTGATGGTTCGAATCCGTGCTGTGGAATCGAATCATTGACAAGATGAAACGAAATGGGTTGATTTCGTGTATGTGAGTGAGAATGTTCCTGGCTTCTTTTGTCATATTATTTTGGCTCTTTGTTTTCTGCATTTGCTCACCTGCTCTGCCAAATGGTAGGCATCCATGGCAAAAAAGGCACTGGCGCCAATACTAATTCCTGCTAAAATGAGCAATGCGGGCAATCCCATGTAATCGGTCAATGGCGCGACGGTAAATGCAGCAGCCGTGGATGCAATGGATCCAATTCCAGCAATGGGTGCAAACCAGATCGCGGCTTGTTCTCGCGTCTGAATGGAACTCATAAATGCCCAATGTTGTGTAAAGAGCAATTGCACAAATCCATTTTCGAGCACAAAGAGTGCGAATAGGAAGAATCGACTGCATTGATGATACATGTTGAGAGGTAGTAGTACTGGATCAATGGCTTGTAGGAAAAGTCCACCTAGACAGAGAATCAATGCGTATGCGAGATGGCAGTTCCGCAAGGCAATGTTGGGTCCCGAGTAGTCTAGCATTCTGGCGTAGAGCTGTAGCATGATCAGAAGAAGAAACGAAGGAGAAAATGAATGAGAAAAAAAGAACAAATAGAGAAAGAAAAAGCAAAGAAAATAGATCATTTCTTCCAAAAACTGAACCCGATTACTATTATTGTGTACTCACTCACCCACAGCAGTAGCAACGATATCGGACTGACAAATCCCAAGGCAAAGGGCACAACGGAAGAATTGGAAAAGCCCGTTCGTTCCGACGTGACGAGCGTCAATGTCCCAGTTCTGGCGTATTCATATCCGGCAAAATGAATGGCACTCGCCAAAGCCATGCTGAGAATGGCTCTCGCCTTGGGGCTGCAAGACAAGGTGCCTCGGTAGTGTTGCCATGTCTTGGCAATGGAGGAAACAGGAATTGTCATCATGGTGAATAGATCAATGAATGAATGCCTTTACTATTGCGGAACAAGTCAACAGAATGAATGAGAATGAACTTGTTCTTCTGCAACATGAAAGTGATGGATGAACTACTGCCCAGCTCATTGAGTTTGTGATGAGTGAGACCTCGAGGCAACCACCACGCAACTTCAAAAGCAACGGCTTTCGTTACGTCACTCTAACTCTAACCCTCACTTTAAGCCGGCTTATGCAGGGAACAGGTCAGAACTCACAATCATTCTGATGACGGCGACGTCAATCGATCGCGGCCCTCATGGGACTTGGATGGAGTGTTGTGGTTGACTTGCCCACACTTATACTGGTACCATACATACATCGATGTCACAGGTCTAATATCCTACTTTGTTGGTCCACTTCTACTAGCTAGCCAGATAATAGCAAGTGCAGTAACTATCGTTGTTCCTGATCATGACACTGCTCTCTACGAATCCAGCTTTGGAAGAGTCTCTTCCGACAACCACAACCGACCCGGACAGGCTGAATACCGAACGCGACAATGATCTCTGTCTGAATTTGCCCGCGTGGGTGGAACAACTCCGCGACGATTGGGGCGAACCGCTGGGTGTCCCGGAATGGGACGATGTCGATTCGTATCGGCAAAAGAATGGTTGGCAAGGACGGGATTTGGTGCACGATCATCACGCTCCCGTCCGTGTCCTGGAATATTTTGTCCAGTATGGAAGCGGCATTATTACCGATAATAATACATGCATCTCTTCCAAAGGAGGTGTCGACACGACCTTGACGGGAATTTGTCACTTTACACCGCGTGCCGAAAGTCACAAGGGATTCTGTCATGGTGGCAGCATGACCGGTTTGATGGACGATGTCATTGGATGGTGTGCCTTTTTGACCACGGGCACATGCCGACCTTGGACGGGATTCACAGTGCAGGTCAATACCAGCCTCAAAAAACCAATTCGCGTCGATAGCTTTTTACTGGTCAAAGCAAAAATCACAAAAGTGGAACGACGAAAGGTCTCGGTGACGGCAGAACTCATCGACCCGGCCAATAATAAAGTGCCGTGCATGCCCTGGGAGAAGGAACTGGTCGTGCTCAACAAGGAGTTTTTGCCTGAACAACAACAACACCAGCCACGCACAAGGCATAAAACAACAACTATTTGATTAAAAAAGCGAGGAAATGGAACAAACCAAAAGGAGAAAGAGTTCAAAAGTGTGAGTTGTCAGCATTCAACAAGGCACTAGCTAGGTTGACTGACCTGATCGGTATTACACAATGGATGCCTAAATCAACTTGGCCGTGACACCTACATATACAACTAGCAATAATATAAAAAAAAATAAAATATAAAAAAATATATATCAAAATAAAAATAAAATAAATAATAAAAAAATAAAAAAAAAAAAAAAAATAAATAAAAAAAAAGATATAAAAAAAAATAATACGGTAGCAACAACGATGGTACCAAGAAGAAAGCGAGGTCCCAAAAGCGAAAGAACAGCAATGCAAAGCCTGCATCGAGGGGTTCGGGGGGTCCAAGCAAGAAGCAAAAGGGAAACTCCAGCTAGCTACCAAGTAGCTCCTCCGATGACCCCCCAAGTTTCCGAACCGCTTTGATACAATGCAATACAACAGCTCTACATGATGGAGAGACAATTAAACTTTACATGCACGTTATTGACAGTGTCAAAGGGCACCTTGTAGAACCTATTGGCTCAACAATGGCCCCACAACTCAAAACCGACGTCTCTTGTTGTTTCAAGGGACGAGGTTGCATCGCCACACCCACCGGCGCCAACATCGTTGCGTTGAGCACAATGTTGGAGTTTTTCGGGACTGTTTTCCACCCGCACGAGATACATATCCGACGACGAAAATGTTATCGGAAGGTCCTTGCTCAAGAAACGAGGAGGGAAGCTGGGTACCAGGTACAGTAGTACTGCTCTTTTGTTGTTGCCAGTGAACTCCCATGACGCACCACCGGCTGTTTAGTCAGCTCATGCCAAGTGCAGTCCTCTCCTCGAGCTCAGCGTTTGCAATGCTCGATCGATTGAATCGAATCATTCGATTGACCATTCATCTTCAGTCGAATAATCAGAGTCGAGTCGAGTTACAGTCCACTCAGTCGAGTCGAGCCGAAATCGAATCTGAATTCGAGAATGGTTCGTGGGTGAGATGCTGGGATCGATGAAGGCCAGCATGGATCTTTCTTACTGAAGTCTTTCTTATTGTCACCGTGACGGAAGCTTCCGACCAACAAGCACTTTCGAGAATCTATCGTCCTACTTGAGCAATCTGCGGGAACGACCTCTGCAAGGAACGACCTCTGTAATTTTAGTTTGTGCTATCTGAGGAGGATCCTAGGCCTTGAGACCACATTTTGTGAATTGGTGTTGTTACCTTCGGACTTCGGCCCCATTTCAACCATGTTGTTCCAAGATATTGATTGGTTCAGTGGCCAGGCAGTATTTGGAGTGGCTGTTTCTCTATTTGCCATCCTGATAGCTACATCATATGTCTTTCAGCAACTGTCAGCACAGAAAAAACCTTGGAAGACAGTTCCCGGCTGGTTGCCTCTGGTTGGCAATTTTCACCAGATGGATGGCGGATCTAGGCCGGCAATGATTCAAACTCTGGAGAAATGGGCAAACCAATATGGAACTGAGACGGGGTGCTTTGAATGTGATCTACTGGGCAGAAGAATGCTGGTGGTTTGCCGGGAAGACCGTGCCAGAGAAATCCTCGCATTGAGGCCATTCAAAGTCACTCGAAGCACAGATGCTCAAGAAGCTGTTGACAGTGTAGGGGCCACAGGCGTTTTTTCTGCTGAAGGAGATCAGTGGAGGCAGGAGAAGAAGCTTGTGTCCTCTACTCTCAACAAAATTCACATGCAGGACTATGTGCCTACTCTTATGGACTCTGCGATTGCTCTGATAAAAAAGTGGGAAGCCAATGTCAAGGAAAGCCCTGATGGTGTGGTCTTTGTTAAGCAAGATCTGGGACATGCCCCTGCAGACACTGTGGGCAAGGTGTTCCTTGGGAGGGACTTCAACTTCTTGCACCATCCTGAATCTGATGTGTCTGAACTTGTGACTCAGGGGTTCAAAGCAATCGAACGGCGGTTCTTCTCTCCAATCATGTACTGGCGCATTCCTATTATTGGTCAAGACCTTGATGGATTTGGGAAGTATCTTCGCAGCGGAATGGCAATCATCAGTCAAGTCATAATGGAGTTTGAAGAGGAGCGTGCTACCAACTCCAAAACCCAATCAAAGACATTTCTTTCCAAACTCTATGATGCCATGGAACAAGAAAAGTCCAAATTGGACCATGAGAGAATTATAGGAAACGTTATCACTGCTTTTGCTGCAGGTAAGAGTGATTGTCAGTTGCTGGCATGTCCTTGGCTTTTGGTGTTCACTAACTCAGTGCTGTTTCGTGGGCATCAACGCAGGCGTTGACACTACCTCCTTGACACTGCTAGCAGCTCTGTACATTCTGGCAACCAACAAGGAAATGCAGTCTGAATTGAGAGATCACGTCGCGGACTTTGATTTGGAGGCAGCTAAGCTTGATGACTACTACTCCAAAGCACCTTTGCTCAAATCATTCCTGCATGAAGTCCATCGATACCATTGTACTCCAATTCTGGGATTTCAGCCTACCCAAGATATCCCCTTTTGTGGTACAACCTTGCCCAAAGGTACTAGGATCCTGATCTTTCTTAGACAAGTCATGCTCCAGAAGGACTCCCCTGCTGCAGGTGTCCCATCTGGCCCTGATGATGCACCACCACATGTGTTTTCTCCTCGGCGATATCTTGTTCCTGTCAATAAGGACAGCACCACCGACAACAAGGAACAACAGTGGCAGTGTGTTGACCCATTGACCAAGGGTTTGTCATTTCTCTCCTTTGGCCATGGGGTTAGATCCTGTCCTGGAAGGTCCTACACAGAAATATTTTCGTATTCTTTTTTGGTCAAGATGCTACAGACATTCGAATTTGAACTAGCACCAGACCACCCACCGGTGAAGATTGTTGCTGACACTCTCATGGCTCCGGATAGAGACATCCAGCTTAAGTTGACCCCACTAGCTAGTGACAAGAGCTAGCTAGGGGGTCAAGTTGACTGTCGTGCAGCCAGATCACACTAGATGGTCAGTGGCCCTTGAAAAATGACTGGCTCTCTATAACATATATATAGGATGAATCTATTTTTTTTGTGTTGATCTTCTAAGCCTTCTACGTGCTCGCAGCAATTGCAGGGACTTCCCCGTCATTGTCGGTGTCTTCATCGTCGTCTTGCTTGGGAGGAGCTCTTCTGTCTTGACATTGACCCTAGCCCCGGGCATTGTGCCTCCAATCATCCAGCCAGGTGGACCAGGTGGGAACCGCCATTGATTTTGGCTCACGGTAAAGTTGACAACTTTGGAAACAATGGCACTGGTCATGGCTCTGGAAGGTGCGGCATGAAAGTCGGTGCTTTTGGACATCATGGGTACCAGTACTCTTCAATCCTCTTCTAAGTCAGCCATGGCCATGGGTGCTCATCAGTTTTCCCGGGGTGCGCTGCTCCAACTATACAGTAGACGACAACGAAGCAATGACAAAGACCGCGTGTCTAACATTTGTTTATAGCCCTATAATTTCCCTGCTGCACATGTTTCTTCATTTTCAAGGCTCATATTTTTTCTCCTGGCGGACTCCACCTGAATAGTTCCACGGAAAGTGAGCTGTGCCACTACAGCTGGCAGGTTTATCTCTTTCACGGCACCACGTCTATCGGTACCTCGATCGCTCCTGCAGTTATCTCCAAATGATCGCTCCCTATTTCTTTGAGTGATCCCAGCCATTGGTGGCAGTTTTTCAGCACTGACCCCATAGTTCAAAGTCGGCAGTCCTTTCTAGGGCGCTGACAATATCACCGCAACCGCCGGCTCCAATGTCATCACGCTGCCTACAGTGGCGGCTCTCCTCCGGGCTGGTATTGACGCGCTTGAGTCTAGTTCGCGAAGCCAAACTAGTATTGGGAAAGTCGTTTCCATTGAGTTTGTCTTTGAAGCTCGTAGATTCTCCCGCACCGGTATTTATGTATTCTATGACACACCAAAGGCTGTTGGGGAGGTTTTGCCAACTACCGCAGATGCCAAGAACACAATGCTTGAACTGGAACTGATATTCTTGAGACCAAATCTGGAGGTTGCCACCACCGCCACCGCCACCTCCTCCATTATCAGGGTTGTTTCCATTGTTATTTTGCCCCATGCATACGGCCAAGCACAAGGCTGTCAAGAGCAATGCAAAAATTGACTTTCGCTGAAGCATGGTTTTCAGAGCTGGTGAGTTTAAACTTTGCGTCTAAGGAAACGTGTAGATTGTGAGGCATAAAGTATTTGGCTCTCCACGCAAGACTACAGGTACGTGGTTTGAAAATTTTGAATGTCGACAAGTGCGAGCGATATGGTGTCCAAGTAAGTGTGGTCTGCAAAGCAACAACTCGGAACTCAGAACTCGAAACCTGTAGCATTGTTATAACCGAGGTTGTGCTGGCTCCTTGGGTATCATTGTTGGGCTACCGTATCGGATCATATTATTTCTTTGAATTGGGCACCACCAAAGTTGGCTTTCGCGTGCTCGCGGCGTCCTACGGCTACAATAGATCCTGCTTGGCTCCATTGTCAACCATGTGTACGAAATGCAGCATTGCATTCCCTTAGATATCTATCGAAGTGCCATTGCGACGTATCCGTCGACGCAACGCGTTGCCTTCGTCTTCCAACCGTTCCGCCTTCTCTCCGGTGTCCGGTGGAAGCAAACCAAGGCACAACGAGTGCGATGCTGTCTATACCGCATCTTTCGTTTTACTCTTTGCTTGTCTAGCTAGCTCACTTTTCTTTATTAATTGACAGAGTTCTGGCGAGCGAAAAATGGACGATCAGCTCAAAAGCGGAACGTAGATACCGGTGGCCATCAAAGCCTCATGCTAATCCTTGCCTTCTGCCTTCCTTCACTGATCGACAGCCAGCAGCCGCAGAGAGAGTTTTCACGGAGGGGGGGATGGTGATCAGGATACCGTAACGGTCGCCGTCGAGCGACACCTGGGGCCCGCCCCCTTTGTAAACATGAACGGAGACAATGACTGCAACCACCAAATTTGCCACTGGAGGTGTGACTACGGAGCCTGTAGAGGCGTTCACTGACTGTTTGGCTGCTCTCTCTGGCTACCGGTGGCTAGCTAGTCTACTGGTAGCTACGGTCTTCAACAACACTGCTGCTCAATTGCCCAGAGAAGTGACATGTACAGCTAGCTCTCTTTTTAAATTTTCTATGCTGCGTTTGCATGCTCTGGAGCGGATCCCATAACCGTAGGACCTGCACCAACCATGGGAACAACAGGTTCAGTGGAATCCTTGCTGGACCCCTCGCTGGTTCTAGAGCTGGAGAAGTTGCTTGCGGTTTCACTGATGCATCTGCTTGGCATGGATGGAGCATGGTCACCTGCTTCACTAAGGCATCTTGTTGGCACGGATGGTGCAAGGTCACCCCCTGCTCCAATGATATCCGATACATCGTCGACACCACTGTCCGGTAATGAAGCACTAAATGCAGACATGGAGCCCCTGACTCGGGTCACTCGACTGGCACTGCTGGAGTACCGGGGCTGAGAAGAAAACATCTTCCGTGAAACCAGTGAAGCAGCACATGAGAATCTTCTCTTTTGCTTTGTGCCGTAATGACTCTTGCTTTTCTCGGTGCTTCGGACAGAAGTCGACCAGGACGATCGCCCACCAGTCTTCCTACTTCTTGCGCATGCTTCCTTGAGTCGGTCCATGGTTACCAGAGCCTCTTGCAGAGCCTCATCGTCACGGTACCTGCACTTCTTGTACTTGCTCTTGATGAAAAAGGCACGCCATTCGCATTCTTCGTCGCGATCTTCCGCCACAACATCCTTACCACGACAAGCTTCATCAGGATCTTTCGCTTCATAATACTCATTGACAAAGTCGTTGCCACAGTTGCTGACGATGTCTAGCTCTTCATGCGTCCACTCATGGACACATTCCAAACATCTAATCTTGCAACGTTTTTCGCCCAATTCTCTGTGGTGGTGAATGGCGCAGGTGTCACACAACAAGACGCAAAGATATCCCTCGACTCGAACAGAAGTACCGTTGCTGTGGGAGGATGTGGATGTGTCTTTCTGTCTCTCTCGCTTGTCTAAAAGGAACGAAACCCATCGGGGACTATGAGCTGGGCAGTCCGCACAATTGGGATTGGCATATTCGATCTTTGCCAGTCGATCAACAATCTCTTCGCCATGGCTGTGTTCGAAGTTGCCGGACATGATACTCTAGACGAGATGATGTAATAAAGGTGCTGGAGCAGTGCAATTGTGAGAACAAACCTTTGACGATCGATCAACAGCAAAACCAGCCACAAGCCATAACAAGCAATCACCGATCACCAGCAAAACCAGCGAAGCATCAGCTACCGTATCGTTGCAGACCCAGTGGTGACAGATTGATTGACACCGGTACTGTACCGGAGCATTGCGGACACCTCAAATCCAGCGACCCAGCGATCCAGTAATTGCCCCCACCACGGACACTGGGTGTTCTGAAGGCCTTCTTCAGCGCGGCTTTCCTTGAAGAAAAAGATGGAGGGGCTAATCCCTATAAATAAGGTTTCCATTCTGAAAGCCACCGGTACTGTGGAAACTCAGTCGCTTTTGCTCACCACAATGGCTGGTTGCTGGTTGCTGTTGGAGAGGTAGCGCTCACCAAAGGTGGGACCGGAGTGTACCAGTACTAGCTACTAGCTAAGCTAGAGGGCACAGGTGGGAACGTGGACCATGAGATTGACGAACCCTGCCTGCCTCCTCTAGCTAGCTAGCTAACCGGCTGTGATCAAACGATTGCTACGGAATAGCTAGTACTCCTCCAAGCAACTAAAGTGGCGCATCCCTCAAGGAAGCAATCTTTAAAGTTTTTTGCCTTCTGAAGATTCACAGTTTGATTCTTGACTTGATAGTGGCTGGTCGAGCAGCGCAAAGACCTGTGTCAGAACTGCGGCCTTGGCCGTGCGTGGAGGCCCGCAGTGGCGGCACCAGCTCATACCTTGTGGATACGGTAGCTTTCTTCCACATTGTACGGAGCGTATCGCAGGATCCCAAGGGCAGCTTTCTACAGGACTTCGCACCGCGCTTGCTCTGCACGGTATGGTATGTAACTTATGCTTCAACGGTGGCGCTCATATAGTGTCGAAAATCTACGTCAGTCAAGCGCTACCGTTTGGACCATGAGACATAATCAGGCTGGAGCGAAGGGAGTGGCTACGATCATGATACACTGTACTTGCTTCTTGCCAGCCTCGGCCATCAATCTGAGATCTCTTCCTTTTACGCCCAAACACCTCTCCGGTGCATGTTGTACGGCCCTGCTGGCTTTTAAAGAACCATTTTCCTGCCATTGTGCATGGAGGCAAGGACCAAAGCAAGGAGCCAAAGATTGATGTTTATTATGATGCCGTCATTGGTTGGCTTTGCCATGCCCCCAGCTACTAGCTACTAGCATGCACAGGAATGACACGGCACGCATCAGCAGCATTACAAGTAAGCTACTCAACATGAAACCTAAATAGCTAATTGCATTTCATTGGCATGTTTGGGGCTTCAAGTCTGGTGTGATCATCTCAGAGCCGCATCGAGTGGCGGCCTCGATTTGCCTCGCGACTTTCAAACTTTTGAGAGGCTCTGCGTTCATTATTGTTCGCACCAAAGGGAAACTGGCTGCGCAAGTGCCGGTTGGCTCCAACCTTCTGATGGCTAGTAGACAAAGCAGCAGGCTTGGTCCTCGACGTTCGTCTGAGGACTTGGACCAGGTGTGCGTAGGTCCAGCCAGGAGAGGGATCTGATGGTGGGTCAAGATTGGTGTAGGACCAGAACTTGAAACAACGGTGTTGCTTGAGTTGGCCAGCCAGTTGCAGGTTCTGGTTGGTCCATACGGCATGTGCTTGGTTGCTCAAGGAGACTGACATGCACGGCAGGGTTTTGTTCTGGGCGTGGGTCCAGGTGAACTATAAAATGAACAACGAACAGGTCCAGGAGTGAACGACAAGTCCAGGAGTTGAACGACGACAAGTCCAGGAGTGATTTCAAGCGCTATAATGTGCAAATAGGGAAGCAAGCAATTCCAAAAAATGTTTGTTACAGTTTTGTCTCATTGCTCTCCAAAGCTCTGCAATTCTAAGACAATGATTTAACCGCTGTATCGGGATCCATCACCGGCGTTGAGGCTCAGGACTCGGTTCAATTCATCCAATGCCTCACAAGCCTCCATGGCTTCTACCAGGCATTCGTCGGTCAAACTTCCACCCAAAGCGTTGGAGTTACCAGCGGCAGCAATTTCTTCCACGGTATCCCAGGCAACAGCGGCTTCGGGAGAGGAAGCTCCAAATTCTTCACTGGCGGCCTTGGCAGCCTTGACGGCAGCCCGGAGCTCGGGAGAATCCTGTGCCTTGGGGGCGGGTGCTGAAGATACCTTGATCTTCTGCAGTTCATCGGTCAATCCCTTCATTTGTTCGACAAATTTGCCTTGTGTCTTCATCAAATCGGCAAGTGCATCCAACTTTTCTCCGTATTCCTTGCAGGCGTCGCTGGCATCTCCTTCTGTCTCGCATTCATCCAAGGAACCACCGGTGGCAGCACTGTGGATTATATCAATAATATTTTTGAGTGATTTGTTGGTGGATTGAGTTCAGTCAGGAGGAAAAGGGGTGATGGGTCATTGTCAAATAAGAAAATATGAGAAGAAAAGGATTGGTGAGAAATTTCACTGGCAGACAGACAGCAAGTGTCTTTTATCTTGTGGTACCCACCTGGTGTCAGCGGCATCCATTTCTTCGACAGTCTCCCATGCCATGCGGGCTTCAGTGGAGGTAGCTCCAAACTCCTTGGTGGCTGCCATAGCGGCTTCAATGGCCGCAGAGGCATCGGGACGATCAACGGATTTCAGGCTGGTTGTGGCGCGGAAACCCACGGTGGAAGGGGCAAATCCATGGACGGCAGTGGCAGCCAAGAAGGCGAGGGACAGAGATAGCTTCATTGTAGGATATATATTAGCAGATAAAAAACTGTTGGGTTGATTTTATGATTGGTGGTCTGGATCGGCAGATCTTTTATTCAAATGCCAAAAGACGCGAAGAAACTTGATGGGTTGCAGATGGCTTCTACACAGCTGTGAAATGCGACGATTATCTTCGAATACGACTGCAATTGTGTTCTACAACGCACTCAATCCAATGGCAACAATCGAAAGCAGATGCGTTGTTCGCCATGGCGAACAACCCCCCGAATCTTGGTGGTTGAGCTCTTTCGCTGACGTTCGTTTTTCTTCCGAAATGCGTTGTGCTCAAAAGATTTTCCACGCGGAACAGTTTGACGCCTGCTCCTTACTTTCCGTGGAGCAGAGACTCGTGACTCATGAGTCACTGTCACAAGCGTGGAAATCATTTGCCTCGGAACGTGGAGAATGTTCAGTGATTACCTGAACCCTAATAAAGATCCCAAACATCAGAACTGAACTCTTTCTCGATCCATTTGGTACTCTACCGTTGGTTATGACTTTGTCATTGTCATCAAGGACGGGACCTTGAGGCATTTGGAGATAAACAGAAGAAGGCAAAGAGAGAATAGAAGCGCAGTGTTGGTGGTGTGATGGCATTGGTGTTAGTGGGGTGGTTCTGCTTGCAGTCCACTGATGTTGATTTGGAAGATCAAAGACGGAGTTTGTTCACCCACCGGTACCGGTAGAGCTAAGCGCTGGTACCGGTTCCCCTCTCCGTCGCCCATGGTCGCTTGCAGATTCGGACAGTATGAGTGAAGACGATACCGATAAAAGCGAAGGCTTCTGCGTCGTCTGTATCGCCTGTATTCTTGTATCTGTGACTTGCCCCGTATGGGTTATCCCCGTTTGTGGCCGTGCAATATGCTGTCCCCCAGAAAAGCCCGTAGAAGTTGCATTAGGATCTGCACCACCAGAATACGGACTCGACGCGCACTTTCCTATCAAAGTTCATCTACCAAGCGACCTTCGCAGCAAAACAGAAATGTCCTTTCTTCGGCTAAAACAAGAAATTCAAAGTTTGCTTCAAGCCAAGGGTGTTGTTGTTCCTGATATCATTCCTGGTAAAGCAATGCGAATTCGCTACCGGTATGGCCAAAATGAAACACGAGATGGTGCATTCGTTGATGGTGAGAAATACCACCTTGACATCGGGACAAAAGTGCAAATTGAAGTGATCAAATCATTGCATCAAAAAGCGTGCTTTTGTCTAAATCACGCATCACCAAAAGTGGCCAGACTTGTGTCTCGCCATGGGAAGCACCAAACCCCATGCGACTCTTTTTATGTGTTTGAAGACGGACCATACCAGTATGATGGAACGACACTGGAGTGGGCCTGGGAGCTGATATCGGAGAGGCTGCAGGAAGATGAAGCTAAGTTGCGCTTTTTCTGGAAAGGACAGGAGTTGGTCAGGGGCTTTCACTGCATCGGTTTTTGCCTGGGATCAGCAATGGAAGCATTTTGCACGTATGGGTCGTCTCCTGGATTATCCACGTGCGTTCACTGCGGCGGCAATCTGTTTCTCTACGTGTCGAGCCCACTGACACAATAAATATGCTGAGGAGTATTCTCAAGAAATCCTTTCACAATGAGCTGACACTGGAAGATTTTGAGTTTGTGGCTGCTGATGGTGTAACTGGTATTGAGGAAACGACAGATCAGCCTGGGGAGACGATGCTTGTCGAGCTGGGTATCCAGGACGGCTCTTTCTTGTACTTGATACCAAAGCAATACTGGTACCACACAGCATATAGAGGACGTGACATTCCCAAGGCTGAGCATCGGGGCATTACTCTGATCCAATTGAGAGATCTTGCAGCGATGGTGATTAGAAAATGCGTACCGGAAGGCTGGAAAAGCACAAACCCAGAACTCGACAGCAAGCGTTTGTCGCCCGAAAACGTTACTCTTTATGATTTGATGGAGCACTACATTCGTCCGCTGACAAGAGAGCACAAGTGGAGCTATGTGGAACACATCACAGTGGCAGAGGAAGACCCTATGCCAGATTTCTTCCTCAGTCACTTCCCCCGGCGTCAGCTGTCAGTGTTCCGCGAAAGATCAGAGCGCGGAAAGCAAGAAGATTGAAGGCAGCGGGATGAAGCTACTTGTATTCTAAATTTCAACATGTTGTTTGATATTTTGCATGGCGTCTGCGTTCCTCTCATCGATTACACTGTTAGCGTACACTACAAGCAGCAATCCCGCACAATCTCTTGCATGATTTCATGATGACTAGGAAAGAACGTAGCACAGGTCGACAGAATGTCTCGCTCCAATTCCTGCATTGCCTCGGTGGGACGCACGTTCAAAAAGAGTCGCAACTTGATGGATTTGTACCGTAACAAGGTTCGTCGCAGCAGCAAACAATCTTGCTGCTTGTCTTCTCCTTGATGATGTGATGAGAGTAACAATTCCTCGGTCAGTTGAAAGGCTTGTGCCGCAATGGCGTACTGTAGTTGGGCATCATCGCTGGAAGATGCATCCCCCAAACCATCGAGTAGGGCTTGCAACAGGCGTTCTCCCCATTCCTGTACAATCCAGGAAGATGGTTTGCATTGCTGTTTCGTGGATTGGTATGCCGTTTCCAACGCAGCCATGTCATGTGACTCGATCGTTTCGAATTTGGACAAGAGGTCGTCTCGGAGGTTGTCGTTAGCTGGCTTGGTCTGGCACTGATCACAACATGCATTGCCATCCGGAAATCGAATCGTTCCGGAACAGGATTTTTTTCGGGCACATTTGATTTGCAATTCATCGCGCCCCAGGTCTCGACACGTGGGACAATGACAGTGGAATCCGTAGTCTTGCCGCAATCGAGTTTGCCGAAGGTGCCGTGGCAACGTGGGATCAATATAGCTCACTGTCAATTCTTCTTGGGCGTGTATTTGCGGCACACACACAGTCAATCGCAAGGACGGATACTGTCCCGCAACGCCATAGTCAAATGTCTGCAGTAGATTGGGACGACAACTGTGATTGAACAGATTCGGTGCTGGTTCCAAAGTTGTTGTTGTGGTGGTGTACAGTCCAACCCCCAAGGCCACTGCTTCCCCCGTACAGACACTAAACGCATTCAATTTGACTTGCTGCAACAACGCTGCCAGATCATCGAGATGCCACAGTGGCAACGTAGTAATGGCTTTCATCATGGCCCAGGTCGTGGCGCAGACGGCCTGTTCGTGAGCCTTTTCCTCGTCGCTAATAATGTGATGCGGGTCGGCCCGTTCGGATTGCAATTGTTCCAAGAGTACTTGTTTGATTTGTCCCGTTCGTTCCGTGGCCAACACCAGGCGATAGAGCAATACGGCCGTGGGGAGAATCATGGGTGGATTATTGTTGCTTTTTTGATTGTAAATGGTAGAGATTGCCTGTTGTTCACTGGGTAGAAACGCCGCCGCCTTGCGACGACAAGCATCGGAACAAAGTCGGGTGGGGTAATATTGCTCCAGTATTTTTCGATTGCCGACCGTAGTAGTAGAAACAGAGGGAGTATTGCTGTTGTTCTCCAACATGAGTCCAAAACAGACGACACATCGATACCGACGATGATTTTCCAGTAACACGGGAGCCACAATGGGCTGCCAATGCTGATTGTCAATTTTTCTTGTATTCTTGTTGTGCGGCTTGATTTGTTCATCACTAATACTGACAGTATCATCCCCATTCCATACGGGCAACGGCTTTCCACAAGTGGCGTTGTGAGGTCCAATGACAGTGCCAAAAATCAACGTTTGGGTGCCGACCACGTATCTTCCTCTGCTATCGTTGGATTCTTGGACACGACAGCAGACAACCTTGTTGGTATTCTTGTCAATTTGCTGTTGTTGCTGTTTGAGGAGTCGCTTGCATACCTTCTTGTGTTTTGGAAAATCCTTTTGTTGACAGGCACGATCGTGATACCAAGCTTGGTGACAGACAGAACATCGTTTCAGGGGAATCAATCCATCAGCACTGCATACAGCAGTAGACTTGGTGGTGGTGGGATCTGTAGGGGACAAGGCACTACGAGGCCCCAACCCACAAGCAGTGCAGACTTGTTTCAATCCTTCCAGCTGAAGTGTGGTCAACTCTTGCACATGTCGTTGCTTTTCTTCTGGTTTGCTCTTGTCAGCGCCTTGAGCTTCCGCCTTTTCCCTTTCCCCTGCGTCCTTCTTCAATCCGGTAGTCTCTGTTGTGCCATTATTGCTGGTGGTGGCTTCCACAACCTCTGTGATCTCCACCATTGTATCTTGTATTCATCTCCGCGACCCTTCCTTTCGGATTTCGGATTTGGTGGTCTGGGAGCCGTTGTCATCCTTGATAGGGATAGCGTTACCGGAAAGATACGCAAGATCCAACTAAAAACGACCAATTGGATGCATAATTACCAAAATACGAAAACAAAAGAAAACATTTGAAAAAAAGAAAAAAAAGTGCAAGCCACTGCCACAAACCACCAGAATACGAAACAAGTGGAAAGAGAGTGAGAGAGAGGGAGTGGGTCAATCTGTGGCTGATTGGTTTGTTGACACATCGTGGTATGAATGAATCCTGGCTCCATTTGGATTGGTCCAAGATCTCGTTGCTCGCATTATTTTTCATGACAATGATGATGGCCAGCACAACAAGAGCATTCCGATGTGGTTTCACTCATTCACGGCTGAAACTGCCACTCCGACACACGTCGACGCATCGGATCCATCATATTCTAGGAGGAAATTGTCCACACCATGGACTGGAACAGCAACGAGCAACCAGCAGTGGCAGCCGCCGATGGATGAGCTCCAGCCAAAAGCCAGAACCACCCTCCGGTCAATTGCAAGACAAGAAAAGGAAGACCAAGAAGAAATCCAAGAAGAAATCTCACAACAACAATCCACAACAGTCATCCTCCAGCCGGTCATTGGGATCTTCCAAGTTGCAGCAAGCTCAGACTGACATTCAAGATATTGATATTGATAACGAGATGGAAGAGCAAACCAGAGCGTGGGTGAAACGGGTGGTGGTGGGAATGAATCTGTGTCCTTTTGCCGCCAAACCATTGGCCGATCATCAACTGTACATTTCCGTGGTACCGGAGAGTAGCGACATTGACACGGTACTGCAACACGTACTGGCACAATCGCTGGCTTTTTTGACCGATGATACTAAGGAGGATCCAATTCCCGGTACAGCACTCCTGGTCTGCCCCGATTTGTTTCCCACCGATTTTGATTCCTTTTTGGATGTACTGTCCATGATTGTAGACGGATTGCTGGAAGACCACGACTTGACGGGAAAGATTCAAATTGTGCCCTTTCATCCATTGTTTGTATTTGCCAATGAAAATATCCAAGATAAGAGTGAAGACGATCCAGACAAGATGGAATACTATACCAACCGATCACCGTATCCCATGTTTCATGTCCTGAAAGAAGACGACGTGAGTCGGGCAGTTGAAATCATGAAGGGCGACACGGATCGAGTATGGCAACGAAATATACACTTGCTACAGAGTATGGGGAAGAAATGTCGTGAACAAGAAGGAGAACAAAGCAGTAGTACACAACAAACAACAACAACAACGCAAGTGCTGTTACAGAACTACTTGCAAACAGGTGCTGACGATGAGAAAAAGTCCATGACGGCATTAGCACAGCAAGCATTGGAAGATACAGCAAAGGAGTTTCCTCTTTTGTCAAAACCAATCAACAATTCCACCGAGACATCATAGGGAACACTGCATGATAGGGGGATTGGAAAGTTAGTTGTGTGTTGATGCTGTATCTAGCACTAGCTAGTGGCCACGGCTTGTCACCTTTGTTCCACTTCTTTTTCAGACTACTGTAGCGCAGTACGGTAGAACTACCCGGCTAGCGATTCAGCTAGTTCCTCCTTTGTCCTCTTCATTGGTGCTCAGAATCTTCTCTGGTTTCACACTGACCACCAATTCTGGCTTTGCTGACGCCTTTGAATAATCAACTGTATATTGTTGCTGCTTCTTGAGGTTTGCCCTCGTCTTGTTAAGGTCCACTAATGGACATTCCAGTTTGGTTCCATCCTTGGGTGGAAATTGTGGTTTTCCTCGTGCCGCACAACGATGACACTGTCTGCCGTGAGCAATGAGCAGACAATGCAATTCCAACTTGCAGCCATCTGGTACGACGGCATTGAGGTGTTCGTACGCTTCTTCCCGACTATCCCCTGGTCGAATCCATTTCAAAATGTCCTTGGCAATCCTATGGACATGGGTATCCACTGGAAATTCGGCTCTCATCATGGTAAAGAGCAAGACGCAGGAAATGGTTTTGGGGCCCAAACCTGGAAATCGTCCCAGTTCCTTCTTGATTTGATCATTGGATAGTTCTCGCAAGTATTCTAAAGAAGTGCTTTGTCGTTCGTTGATGAGCGTTTGAAAAATGGTATAGATGCGTTTGGATTTGATCTTGGCCAGGCCTCCACAGCGAATGGCGTCTTCCAGCTTGGTGGGTGGATCTGGCAAGGCAACCACGTCTTCCCAAGTGGGTAGAACCTTTTTGAGCTGTTGAAAGGCTCGGGTACTGTTGGCATTGGTAGTGTTTTGCGATAAAATGGTACTGACCAATCCGTCGGCAATGCTTGCTTTCATGCCACAGGAGGAACCCAAGCTGTCGGATCGTCGATTCTGACAGTCGTCAAGGACATTGGGATGCAGTTGGCCCAGAGATTCCACTACAAATCGACATTCGTCGTGGGTGGGACCTCGAGACGAAGAATCATTATTGCTTTCGTTCTTTTCTTTGGCAGCTCTTCGCTTCTTAGTCGGAGGTTCCCAAGATGATGGTGCTGGATCTGGATACACTTTCAAGTTATTATCAATAACTGCAGCCTTCCTGGGAGATCGACGCAATGGAGTTGTCATTGTGCTTTTCGTCACGGTGCTTTCTGGCTTTGTGGTCTTCTTGTGGTTTTGCTTTGCTACCGGTACTAGTTTGTGGATCCACAAGGAAGAAGATGCCAGGCTAAGGTTAAGATTAAAGCATTCACATTCTCTAACGGACGCATTCCAGACATCCAGAGCCAAAGCATCGAAGCTTCCAGATGGAGCCAAACTGTTGCGGCATCAAGCAGCGCGCTCCAAAGCTAATAACGCATCGGGAGAAGCTTACAAATGGCACCAGGTCGTCATAGTTTCAACCCAAGCAAGAAACAAAACAATCCTATTCGCTCCTGGATCTTGCTTATCAAATATCTTTGTGTTGGCATTGCTCTCTTTTCTTCTCTCATATTTTGCTCCAATTTCCAAAGTCTTTGTGAGTGCCCGTTAGCTTGTTATCTCGCGATCGTTGCAGTGCTCTTCAGAAGGGTCCAGCATTCCGATTCCGATTGAATTTGGGCACTTACTTGGCATCAACGGAACTCACTCACTGTTCGGCTTCCTCATTACATCTCATCATGAGTAGAACAACAATGGATACCCAGCCTACTGCAGCCCCTACCCCTGCCGCCACTCCTGAAGCAGCAGCGCCAGCTACCACGGTCACGGCAACTACCACTGCCAAGCCAGCTCCAGGACCAGCACCTGCCGTTGTTGTTGCTGCTGCCCCTCCAAACCCACCAGCCCCAGCCAATCCTTCTGTTGCTGTTGTTGTTGCAGCTCCACCCGCTCAGCCCGCTCCACCTGTTCCAGTGGCTGCGCCAGCTCCGATTCCGGCTCCTCTAGTTGTCGCAAATCCTATGGCTGCCGCAGCCACAGCGGCCCCGGTTGCCCCAGTTCCCGTGTCTACCCAACCTGCTGCACCCATCCCAGCTCCGATTGCCCCACCTGTTGTGGCTACTCAACCAGTTGTTCCTATTGCTCAGGCCCCAGCCCCTGTGGTTCCTACTCCTTTGCCCGCCCAACATGTTGCCCCGACGCCAATGGTTATTGATCCTGTCCCCACCCAACCAGTTGCTCCAACTCCCATGGTAGTCGCTCCTGTGCCTACTCAACCCGTTGCCCCACCTCCAATGGTTCCCGCCCCAGCTGTTTCTGTTCCAAATCCTGTTCCAAACCCAATGGCAGCAGTCGCAGCTGCACCAGTTCCAATCCCCACCCCAGTGCAAACAGCTCCTGTCCCACCAACCTTGGTAGCAGCTCCTGCAAATCCAATTGCCGTAGCGATACCAGCACCGGTCAAGCCTGTTGTTACCCAGGCTCCCCTTGTGGCCAATCCAATGGCGACTGCCAAACCAGCTCCCGTTCCAAACCCCGTCTTGGCTCCAGCCCCAGTAGTGACCAGGCCAGCCCCCATTGCTGTCAAACCGGCTCCTGCTTCTACCACGATCACGGCGGGGGCCAAGCGAGAAGCACCGACTCCTACTGCTGCAGCCAAGGAGGGACAACCAGCTGCCAAGAAACCAGCCACAGGGTCGCATTCGCAGCTTCAGCAACAGATCCAGCAACAACTCCAGGCACAGCTCCAAGCTCAATTGGCAGCCGCCGCGGCCAGAGGACAGCAAGCCAATATCACTCCTGCGCAAATTCAGGCTCAAGCGCAGGCAATGGTCCAGGCAGCTGCTCAAGCGCAGGCGGTGGTGGCGGCAGCCAAGTCTCGCGGAGATGGGTTGGTCCCCATGAATGCCTCCCAGATTAATGCACTCAGCCAGATTCAGGCTCAAGCCATTGTCCATGCTCGCAAGAGTCCGGGAACGCCCTCGCAGATTCAAACCCAAATCCATTTGCAGGCGCAGGCATTGGTGCATGCTCATACACAGGCCCAAATCCAGGCTGGTATCTATAAGGGAGATGACAAGGGTGCCGAAGGCAGCTCGGGAGCCAAGAAGAAAGCTACACCAAGCATGACACCGAAACAAATGGAGGAAATGGATCAGCTCAAGCAAAAGCAGCGACAAGAAACTCAGAATCTGATTGCTACGAGTGCATCTCCCGAACAGCGCAAGGCTCTTGACCATACTCATCAGAAGCAACGCAAAGAATTGCAAGCGTCTTTTCGGGCAGGGACAAGTGCCGCCAGGCCTGCGGCTCGATCTGTTCCTGCCGCTGTCCGTGTCCCCAATCCTGTAGCGGCTGTGGCGGGAGCGACCGCCGCTCCTCCTGCTACGACGGCGCCTCAACCGATGCAAATCAGTACCCCGACACCGGCGCCAGCACCTCTCATTGCACCGGCTCCCGTGGCTCCGGCACCGACCTACGCGACGGCACCCGTGGCAGCGGCACCTGCCCCCATGGCTCATCACAATCACCACGCCGCGGCTCCTGTAGCACAGCAACCCATGGCGGTGGGCCACCAGTCGACAGAACCACCCCCCTCCAGCAATTCGCCCGCCTTTTTGCAGCAATTGAATTCGAGCTTGGGCAACTTTTGGACGGAAGAAATGCGTGCCATCGAAGGACTGGAGAATCAATCGGAGCAGGATTTCAAGAATCACAACGATCTTCCCCTGGCTCGCATCAAGCGCATCATGAAGAGCGACGAAGATGTTCGAATGATCAGTGCCGAAGCCCCTGTTTTGTTTGCCAAGGCCTGTGAATTGTTCATTTTGGATTTGAGCATTCGTAGCTGGAACTACTCTCAGCTACACAAGAGACGGACGTTGCAAAAGGAAGACATCCGGGAAGCCATTCAGAAAACGGACATTTTTGATTTCTTGGTTGATGTGATCCATTAGACGTGTAGTGTATGTGGGCTTCGATGTCTATGTAGTGGAATAAGAAAAGGGTTTAACTATGTCCGTTGTGATTCACGAAGAGTGTGTAGGCCCAATACCCACATCTAGCTACTGGTACCGGTAGAAGCAAGCAAACGGAAACGGAACGAGTAGCGCCTCAGATGGTACCTACGGTTCACCATGACGCAGTCCTTTGGGAAGATTTGAGGGCTGTGTTCAAAGCCATGTTCGGTTCCTGTACAACCGGAGTTCCACCGAACCGCCAACATGCGCATTGCCATGTGATCCAAAGCGATCTCTAGGCGTACCACTAGAAGTGGGCGTGTGTCCCCTCAAAACGTGGCCATTATAATGTTTGATGCAAATGACATTTTTATATCTATCCTGGTGATGATGATTGTTTCGCGTCGTGTCCGTTTCTTTTGCAGCCAATAATTTAGCGCTTCTTCTTGCCCGCCTTGGCCTTTTTGGCATTGGCCTTGTTTTTCTCCTTGAGAGCCTTGCGTTTGGCCGCCACCTTTTCCGGATCCTGCGGTTTGACGGTGAAAAAGTTGGTCATACGGAGCTGTGGTTTGGAGTGTTCCTTGTAGGCATTTTGCAATTTCTCAATGTTGGACGAAACGCGATCCGGGCTAAAGCCCATTTGTTCCACAAGGAATTTGGTCAGTGCCTCGGGTTGGCAGGGTTTCCACTTGAGCTCGACGCTGCCCTTGTCCAAGACTTCATGATTCATAAACAGCTTGCGAGCTTGCACATATGCCGGGATCAAATTTTCTTCATTGTCGCTTTTGTTGTCCTCCTCCTGTTTGTTGTCGCCTTCTTCGTCCTCCGAATTATCGTCCTTGTTTTGTTGCGCTTTTTCCTCCGGGACCCAGGCATCCGGCACGGTGAATTTTTTGCGATCAATCTTTTTGAGAATGGTCTCGATATTTCCATGTTCTCGAATCAATTTCAACGCGGTCTTGGGGCCCACTCCCTTGATGCTATCGCAGTAATCGCATCCCAGCATGATACACAGATCCACAAATTGCTCATGCGTCAATTCGAGCCCGTCAATGGCGGCTTTGTAGTCCATTTGTTGAATTGTCGATTTGGAGGCATTGGCAAATGTCATTTTGCGCAACAACACGGGAGTGGCAAACGTCAGGGCATCCATATCTTCGGTACCCGTGGCATAGACCAAACCGGCTTTGGCCAATGCGGCCGCCTGTGCTTCGGCTTCACAGGGCGCCTTGACAATGGGGACTCCCATTAATTCCAACAATCGCATGCAATCCTCATTTTCCTTTTGTCCGGCTCGTACCAATCGTTTGGATTGTTTGCCCTGTTCTTCCACGTCGCCTTCTTCTTCGGCCGTCTTTAACGCCGCCTCGGCTTTTTCGCGCTTTTCCCGACGCTTCAATAGTTCGCCGCTTTTGAAGGAAGGAGGTTTGCCATCAAAGACAAACACGGGACGAAGGCCTTCCGTCATGTAGCGAATGGTCCGATTGAACATTCCCTGTATATGCGACGTCGGCTCGCCATCGTCATTGGTCAACATGGCCGATGGATTCGACTGCGAGCCCGTCCGAACCGCAATCATGAATTGGTAAATGGACATGGACGCATCAATGGCAATTTTGCGGCCATGGAGAGATTTCAATTCCACTTCTCGAATGCACTGATGGATACATGTGGTAAATAAGGGACGGAAGGAGAGACAAGGAAAGCAAAAGGGCAGATTGAGCTAATGTGTTCGGTATACTTATCACTAACAAGTCTGTGTCGTGACAATGCTGTCATCATCACTACGTTAACTTACATCGGGCGCTTCATCAGAGAGAAGCTTCGCTAGACCTTTGATACCCATTGTCGCTTCGATTCTTTCTGGTAAACAACAAAAACTAATTTAGACTGCGGCTCGTGTCAGTCCGTTTTGTGCCGTGGTTTCTGTCCTTCCGAAACGGGTCGAAAAAAGATTCGCGCCCATTTCTCGGAAGCAAGTTTAAAGCTGTAGAAAGTGCCGCACACTTGTCCAGTGGGTTGAAATAAAACGGCTAGCCTGTAAACTATAGAGGAGCTGGCCTCTTCTCCTGGCGGTCTCAGTACCGGTACCGGTACCGGTACCTATACTTTTACGGTACTACATTTCTGCAACAGTAGTTGCACAGTGTCAGTATGTGCTTCCCCCTACTACTAGTGGATCTCACATACTGTCAGGATCTGGCATGGTATGCTACGTAGAAATGCTACAGTATCTGCAGTCATTGAAACAAAGATCCTCTCAATAAGACTCTCATTATTTAATAAACTGAGAGGATTTAGACATAACGCTCGTGCTTGGATAAATAGAGGCCGATGCACATACTGAGAGGATTCCAATTTTCGCTTAAGTAGCGCAGAACATACCCAATCGATTCCCACAAATCCAATGAGATCCACCGTTGCAGGCTAAAGATCCAATCGTACGATCGGTCGTTACCAGTGCAGCATACTCAAGCCACCGCCCACACGAGTCGTTCGTGTATACTCAAGGCAGAGAGGCAAACAACGGGCAAATCCCGTGATCGATCGGTGGATCCTCTCCGTATGGTACAGTTCAGTTCAGTTCAGTTTTCCTCATTATTTTCATTCCTTCTACTCTGTAAAGGAAACTCTGCCAAAATTCCAGCACAACCAACAATTGCTTAGTTGACCAAAGAATTGCTCCACCATGGCCAATGCTGGAGCAGCCTTTGGGTTGGAGGACGTGCCGGATTTGCCTGAAGCACCCACGGAACAGCCCAAGTACAACCGGGATTACATCGTCTCTTCGTCAAATTCATGAGCTGGCTGCACAAGAGGACATACACCAAGGCGGCTCGCTTCCAACCTAGTGCTTTGGCCGGCATCCAACCACACCACGTTGCCGACTACTTGAAATGGCGTGCGTATGGTACGCCGATGTTGACTTCAAAGACTCGAGCAGAATCCAACTTGCCGCTCCTCTACTCTTGAGCAAGACAAGAAGCTATCTCCTTCTACATGCCCATCAAAGGTGCCACTGGAATGGAACCTCCGGCAATCCAACCAAGTCCGATCCTGTGAACGAAGTGGTCAAGAAGTCAAGAAAGCGGAGACTCACACCGCGGCAAGAAGTCCTGTGCCACCAGGGATTTGACGGAAACTGAGTATCGCAAGGTGGTCCATGAACTCTACGGCAAAGGGAGCTTTGATCGACCATCCGTACAGCCTGCATGTTGAAGCAGCAAGTCCATCTCATCACCAGGACGGATGACATCTCCAATTTGAAGTATTCCGACTACAAGCCGCATCCAGACTTCCCTTTTGCGCTCAGTTGCAAGGTGCATTGGTCCAAGATATTTCGGAAGAACGACAATGCCTGACCAAATCATTCTTGGTGTTGGATACCGACTTTTGTGTATGCTCGGATTGGCGAATTACATGGAGGCGTCCTTCAACTAGGGTATGGCGCCGCTGGTCGGGAAGATGCATTCCTCTTTACTCCCAAAGCGATCCTAAGTTGGCTCCCCAAGCACTGCAACGCAGCCTACCGCAACATTCTCAAGCTGTCTTTTTGTCGGCTCCATTCTGGCTGTGGCGCTCCCATTGCTGGTGTTCTTGGAGTCACAGCATTCGGAAGTTGCTGCAACTCTGGCAAGAGGGATGGTTGCTACTGCTGACGAAGTTGCATTCGAGGTCGCTGGAAGCTCGCTTGTCTGGACGGTTTGTGATGCCTACATTTGCCTGAACAGCCCTGGATCGACGCTCGTGTTCCGAAAAGCTTTGCATGGGGGCTCCTATTGCCTACAAGCTACACCCGGATGCCAGAGAGTGACTCCCGACTGGTTGATTGAGCATGTGGTGCAAGGACGCATGCGTTTTACGACGGTGTCAACGACATTTCGCTTCACTTGGCTCTGCCTCTTTGTGGGCTGCTCTTGACGAATCTTGGGAGGAGAGGTGGAGCCTCCCGTTCGTGTTAGGATCCAGATGCGTACGAGCGCATCAAGGCCGATTTCCTGTTGGCGTCAACCCTGTGGTGAAAGTGCCTCTCTCTATTTGGACGCAACACCAAGCTCCACATCAGAAATCGAGCCGATGGATACGGGAGGCGGCGGTGGCAGGCTGGTGGCACTACGACTGGCGGCACTACGGGAACGACCGGCCAGGCAGCACTCGTCAAGTTGCCAATCAGTCTCGGCAGGTGAGGCTATGCAAACGCAACAACAGGTAGAACGAACGAGGAGATTCTGACAAGGATTATGCGCAGCACAACCAGCTCCAGCAGCTCATAGCGCAAGAAGGTAGGACCCGCGACAGTTCTGCTGCTGCTTTGAGAGGTTGGTTGGAGACTTGGCTTGGGCGGAGCTGACGAAACTCAATGGAAATATTTGCAGGTAAGTGTGGACTTTGGCTGTTGGCTATTGCAATATGGCTATTACTGCTGCTAATATGTATTTTTGTATGCTGTTTAGGATTGCTGTTCAGCCTCCAGGATGGCAACACCTGATCAGGTAGATGGTATCTTTTTAGAAATGGGTTGACTGTGGAAAGGACTCGCCGGAATGGCCAGACTAGCCTCAGGTACAGACAAGCTGTGGCCACCACCCCTGCTGATAGTAGGCCTGCCAAGCTAGCCAAGTACAGAACTGTTGGCTCTGCTTGGCAAGAGTGGATGCATGGTATTGGTGGCAACAAGCCAGCCAAGAACTTCACTGCTGAAGATATCAGGGCTTGCAAGTCAACCTACTCCAGGAGGAAGCCACTCTGGACTCTCATGGCTACACTTGTCAATGCTCAGAAAGCTCCAGCTTGGGTCATCTCCAAGATTGAGCAGCATTACACAGGAAGTGTTTTGAATATTACTGCTGCCATCAAGCAGGACACCATTATGGGCAGTCTGCATGAGGATCTTTGTATTGTTCGTGCTCAGTAAAGTTGACCTTAGTTTAATCAGCATGGTAGCCATGCCTTATAGTGAGTTTGTTACATGGACTTCATCTTTTTCGTTTTCATTTTCGTTTTCGTGGACTTGTGCTTTTCGAACGTTTCCCATGTACTGCTACTGCTACTGCTACTGCTACTACTAGCTAGCTAGCGATTTCGTGGACTTGTGCTTTTCGAACGAACGAACGAACGAACGGAGAGGTGGAGGTGCGTTCGTATATCTTAACAGTGAGTAGTAGAGGTGCGAGCCTCATTTTTCTTACAGTCGAGGACGTGACCTTTCGCTCGCTCCTCACTGGTATGAAGGAACGATCGTACCCAGCATACACCAGGTGTTGGGTATACGTCGATCGATAGGAAGGATACCTCCTGTAGGATGGCTACTACTCGTACAGGCTCTCAGTATTTCTCTCAGTTCTGGGATATACTTTTACGGTACACGTACCAGCATTTCCGCGGCACAAATGAGGATTTCCTCATTTAATGCACGGTGTTAAGAAAACAGGCAACGTAACATCACGTAGAAGCATGAAGATCAGTCATTCCTTACACCTTGGCATTAAGACACACTGTACCCATTATACCCTTACATTTAGCAATAATTACCTCTCTTAGTAAACACCCAATATGACACTATCAACTACACTATCTCAACAAAGTAAGACAATGACATTCAAAACAACATTATTGCTGACAAATACCATTCAGCAACTAGGTCAATTGGTTGAATATTGACTGAGATCTGGTAACCAGAAGATGGTGGCTTGTTGATCACAAAATCATATTTCAGTCATGCTAGCAGGGACACTAAGTAGGAAACTGCTATGTGTTTCCGAAGTGTTCCAGAGGTTTTCTCATTTTTGCGCCTTTCCTCATTTTGGCTGGGGAGTAGCCAGTACTGTACCCTACTGCTTTTGGATCCTATCAAACTTGGAGTACAATAGGGTTACTGTACCCGTACAACTACAAATTAGCAGCGGAAGTGATGAACAGAAGGCACCCCAAGGCTTTGTTCATTTTTTAAATTATACTTGCTTAGCCTCCACACAGAACTACGAAAGTTCCCGAAATCACGATTTACATGTAATTCTGCTTGATATTTGGGTTTCGATTTTATATTTTGGTTCGATTTTATATTTAGACTTCGATTTGATATTTAGGTTTCGGCTTGATTTTACTATTTATTTACCATAGTAATTTGGTTTCTGTTTTATATTTAGGTTGCGGTTTCATATTTAGGTTTCGATTTTATATTTAGGTTTGGAATTGATCAATTTAATTGGATTCTTAAAATCCTGATTTCGGGCCGTTTCTACCTGGCTACCTAGTTCTACTTGGCTAGCTGGCTATCTATTTTACGTAGAGTGGGCACAAATAAATCATGAACAGGAAATGCTTCCTTTCTTTCAACCCACTTCCTCCTCTTTGCTCGAGAGTATTGATATGAAATATTATTTATTTGCTGGTCGCACCTCAATTGGAAGCCTGGAGGGAGCCACGTGCGGCAATGCGACAGAGGATGCAATCACAGCTGTGATCACAGCTGCAATCACAAACCTTGAGCTCCATAATATTATCTCCTTCACCTTTGCGTTTTCCGTGTCTGCCAGTGCCACCATTGACGTTCATAGCCTGCAAGAAATGCTGAACCGGTTCCACCAGCAACCCCCCCAGCTTAGGAGTTGAAAAGTTTGCTTCCCCGTGAATGGATCGCAAAAGGAACAGCAAGAAGTGGCTACAGTAGACAGATCTACAGCTAAGTCGCTCCCGCTCTGTTCAGTACGAGTACTAAATCTAAGCTGGCTCGAGGATGCGATTGAAGCGGTACCGTATACCGTACTGTTACTTCCTTGGCATTGTTTATTATTGGCTTAGTTTGGGGCCTTGGCCACTGGTAAATCCTCGGTCGCATCCTCGACTCGTTGTTTTCTACCCAACCCGTGCCGGTGCAGCTCTTAGATCTGTCATGGTGGCGAATCATCGCTGCTGGTACTCCAAACTCCAAACTCCTCACAGTCTCCTGACTGGTGGTGTTCAGTGTGCAACTAACTGATAACTGCTGCTTTCTTCGTTGTCAGTAACTGTTGTGTTAATTCAGTTTCGGCAACCGAGAACTGCTGGACTGCTCCATATATCAAGTTCTTGAAGCCATTTTATGCTGTTTCTGAAGAACGTGATGTCTCACACATCAACCATTATTTTGTCCTACCGTACCGCTGAAGGAGCTGCCAGTAACGAGTGTCTTGAGGGAACACACCTTCTATGCCCCGAAACACAAGGAGTAGCTGAAACAAGCACCAGCTAGTCATGTGGCCTTTTGCCTTGTAACAGCCCTCTCACCTAGCACGTTGCAGCACGGAAAGGATAACAAAGCAGTGCTCCGCAACAGGTTCCAAAGGTTCAGAGGTTAACAGCAACCGACAACGGATAACAGGCAATGAAACCAGTGTTGCTGTTGTACCACTCCTACAGCCAAGTTGCCAAAAAGGTTCGGTTCGGAGTTGGCGTTTTTTTTGGCTAGAGCTAGAAGCTAGAGTGAAACTTGATTCTAGATCTATTTTTTTTAGGCCAGCATTGGCTATCTCCCTACATGCTGTCTTTGTAGCAACTCTATCATCTGATCTCGTAACCTAGAGCTACCTAGCTAGTTCGTTGCTATCTATCCCTCTTGTGGAGGATCCTTTTTGACTCTTGGTCCAGTAGGCGATCCCATGGGCCCCAACACCGTATCGATCAATGACAGGAAATCATTGTCCCCGTCTTCAGTATCACTACTAGAACTCCCGCGGCCATGTTTGGACTCTTCTGGGAAGGTCCTTCTTCTCCTCGCTGGAGCCCGGGCAACACCAGTCATCATGGGCATTTCTAATGATCTTGTGCTTCCTGATGCAATTGCCAACGTGGGATCGTTCAAAGGTTGTTGCATCTGTTGTGGGCTTAGTTGTAGTGAAGCTTGTTGCTGGTGTTGTTGGAGAGAACTAGCATGATCTGATAGTTGTCCGTGAATTGAAAGTTGTGGCATGGAGGTATTCCCCATCCCCGATAGTCCATGGAGGAAAGACTGTGATGAACCCAAGTCAGGTAGAGGCTGCCTTAGGAAATCCTGCTGTCGTAGATGTTGTATCTGATCCTGGACCATGTTGGAAGATGCTCCACCAAAGCTCTGTGGCCCACCCATAGGAAACATGGGCTGAGCCATGGAACTGAGCGATAAGTGCGATTGTGACTGGTTGAGTGAAGGCATCATGGGATTCCCACCACCCAAGTTGTTCCCAATGCCACCCATCCCTCCTGGAGGTTGCCCCATCATCTTATTGGTGCTGCTGTTGCCAAAAGAAGGTTCTTCTTTCTTTCTCTTCATAAGGGTGCCCGCTCCCGCTGTCTTGTTGGCCTTGGTCTTGTCCTTGGCAGCAATGGCATCCCGAATGGCATGAGATACCTTTGCCTTGGCTTCCTGGGTGCTTAGCTCGAACCATTCTTCTCCGCTATCTTTCCTTTGCTTCAGAAATCGCCCTCCGTCAGCGTTGATCATACCCACGAGTTTCGTAGCCACCATAGACTTTGCCCATTTGGAGGTAGCCTGGTGGTATTCATCCAGTGCCCCAGAGACAATGCTGCGAAACCGACGATTGCCGACTAAACAAGATTCAGAAACAGAGGGTTAGCCGCTAGCCGAAAGGAGAAAACTGAGAGCACACCGTCTACCTTACCATGATTAAAGCTCGCCTTGGAGCGCCCACAGAGGACATCATGGGGTCTAATATCGACTGCACCAGGAGCAGCAGATATCTTCCTATCAAGAGACTCGTGGAGAGCAATAGACGTATTCCTTACGTGCTCGTCATGATTGGGATTGTGGTTGTCGTCTGGATTCGAGTTCATCATGGCAACGGCAAACGAAATGCCTGCAGAGCAATTCATTCAGTGGCAGGCTGGAAGAATAAAACTCTGTGCTTCACAAAGATAAATTTTATAAGAGAAGACAACCACTTGCAGTTCAGTTGTCGGTGGTCGCCGGTTTTTAAACCTCACGTCAAGAGGAGACTTGTTTACTGAAGCAAGCAAGCAAGCACTGAAGCTCTGACGGGAGGAAGTTTTGTGTTGTGGCAGTAGAAGTAGCAGCTTGTTGGAGCGAAGGTAGGTAGTCTGTGTGTGTTGTTGCCTTGAATATAAATAGAGTTGTAGCAGGCAGTAGAAGACTTAGTAGACGGCAAGTCCCAGGAACGGCGCGTGATGTGTACCAAAGCCTGCCCCTACCTACGGTAAATTCCAAAGTCCGTTTTGAGCCTTCCGACATCTTGGGTAATTTAAGACAGCTCCTTAGTAACTAAGTAACTAAGTCCTGGAGAATTCGCTCTTTCCTATTTTTGGACTGTCTTGTCTACGACCAGTGCGGTACTCTCACCACCATCTGAATCTGCGCTTATGAACTTCGCCTAAAAAAGTTTTACTCACTGGTTACGTGGGCTTAAAGAAGAAGCAGAGGACATTGACTGCACAAATAAAAAGTTAACTCTTATGATTCTCTTCAAGTCCCACCAAGTTCTTTGATTCAAGCTTCGAAATAACAGCTCTCAGTAGCTATTAACATGTGTAATACCCCAAGCTATCAATATAATTGTACCGTACGGTAGCTTACTGTACCGTACACTGTATCGGTACAATGGCGAGTAGTACCAGGTACTAGTAGCTAGTACAGTAGCTAGTACAGCACTACAAGGTGCCAATTGCCGTCTCTCGCCATATCATCAACCGCATCAAGCAGCTATCAAGCACAGCTACATGGTTACCGTACCGCTACAGGGTGGATGTTGGATGCGTGAGCAAAAGCACACGCAGCCCCCCACAGCCACACTTGTTGGTATGTTGCATACAGAAGCAAGTTTGGGCTGTCACCTTCAAGCATGTTTGGAGCGCGACTTGGTACGTGTACCGGTGCGTGTATCTAACAATAGCAGCAGCATGCATCCTGGTTGGTTGGTTGGTTGGTTGGTTGGAAGCAATGACTTTATTGTGTAGCGTGGGGTGAGAAACTGGATTGAACCACTGTGGCCTGAGCTTCCAGCTGATCAGGTCCATTATCCAGCCAGAGAAACGTAATCTTTCATTGATCATGCATGGGGTGATAAACTTGATTGCTTGAACCACGCTTCAAGCTATCAGAGTCCTCTGTATCAAAAGACAGGTAATCTCTTCATTGATACCGGTATGGATCACTGTGGAGTGTGGAGCACAGCCTTCTGGGTGCTACTACTGCTTCGGCTTCCTCACTGGTTGGAGTTATCCCAGCTAGCTAGAAACGAGCTTTCCAAAAACGAGAGTTGTACATGTAGAGATGTAGACTACATAAGCGTACATGTGCTATGGCTGTGCTATATCTATTTGGATCGCAGATGCTATCTAGTGAGGCTTAAAGTGTGTTCGTTTCTAAATGGTTGCGAACGCCGAGGCAAGGGCGCAAGACACACACTCCTTCACTCCAACCACATACTGTACATTCAAACGCACACAGCCATTGGCCATTGGCCATTGGTACCACTGCAACTCAGGCCGCAGTGGGCTCAACTCATTTCACTTTTCTCACTCGGAGCTTTCGGTCACAGTTGGTCTTTCAGGTTAGATCCCAAAGGCTCCTTCCCTTGCCAACGGCGATTCCACTAAAGCCGATACTTGTTTGGCTTCTGCCTTGAAGCGACTAGCACATGCTTCAGCATATCAGCATTCTCAGCCACCGTGGCTTGCTTTGGGTTTTATCGTTTTATCACTACTAGACTAGCTAGCTAGCTAGGCTACCGTAGCTACATGATAGCTAGCTAGCCATCTATTTATTTATTTTTCAGATCCGAGCAGTTCCGATTGTTCCTAAGACTAGACCGCCTCGAACGCAACAATCCTGTTGAACAGCGAAGCCTAATAGCGACTGCCATGGCTCAGTTAGGATGTAGTCCAGGACACTCCTTGGGCAATTTTAGTAGCTACCCTTTCCCGGCTTCTCCTTGACCTGCCTTGGAGGGATCGGCTCCTGGCGGTGCGTTCAGTTGGTGGCATGCATCTGGGAACCACCTTGCTGTCTTTCTTCCTTTTGTTTTGTTTTCGGAACACGCAAGTTCACCGATGGCAATGCTTGGATGTGTTCATGCTGCCAAGGGTTGCTGTTGCTTTGGTTGGTTCTTGGTACTGGCTTCTACATACTGTACCATAGGAACTGGTCATCTGGGACTGGGCTCGTTTCTGCCTGTTGCTCAGTGTTTGCAAGTTGGTGTTGTCGTATCGTACCCCCGTTTCATGGTCACCACGTAGTCGGGAACCCAGAAATCGGTCTTGAGATCTACAAGAGCAAGTCGGTCGCTGCCGCCTTTAGAAGCATTTCCCGTTTCTTAGTTTATAATGTTGGAAGTTGTTGTGTTATAAGCTTGTTGATAGTTGTAGCCCACTAGCCAGATAGCAGTTAACTAGTTGTCACTAGTCAGATAGCAGCTGTACTAGCTAGCTAGCAGTACCAATATGTACCAGTATTGGTTGTTGCTGTCGACGCTTACCGGTACCGTTATTGATCTCAATGATTGCTGCCGGTGCTGGTACCGGGAAGCTACACCACACACACGCGCACACACGCAACCAATAGGGCTGGTGCATTCATCCTTTCTCTTCTGGTTTCTGGACACGACGCTGCTAAAGGGGCTCCACCCGCTAAGCTTCCTGGATGGACTAGGCTTCGGCGCGCGAATCCTGTCAATAGTAGAGGATGCATGGGCTTTTGAGTTCGAACTGGGTACTTAGTTGAATTGGTAAGTAGGGAAGCATGATACTTGTTGGTGCAACAAGCTAAGATAAGAAAGTAGTGGTTTTGTCTGTGCAGTGTACTTTATAGAAGTTAGTTACATTTCGATGGTAATGTTGGAAAGCCTTAAAAAGTGTCGTGAGCTGAAAAGTCCCGGCCAATGAGCGCTGGCTGTGTTGTGGATAACACGTCGCGCAATGCAATGTCTGCCTGGTGAGCTCAGACTGTGACCTCTCTGCATCCTAAGGGGATCAAAAATAATCTTGTGATCGAAGTTGAGGAGATTGTGTTTCAAGAAGATTAAGAAGAGTGCCATGTTCAGCGGTGGGAGGGTCCCAACATGGATTGGATGTAAACCACGAAGTCATCGTCGTACCCGGCTTCAGTGCTGTCGGAGCTGTCTTCCTCTTCAGAAGAGGAAGAGGTCCAGCTCTCGTTCAACTTCGAAGCGACAGAATCGGGCTTCTTTGTTTCCTTTTCATCACCGTCATCGGTCAAGGAAACAAGGGAGTTCGAAGACCAGGTTCCTCGGTAATGGGGCTTGACCATCTTGGTGAGGCTTCCTTTGCTGGTGACACCTGTAGTGACTGCCACCGTGGGTCTTTCAGAGGCAGGCTTCTCAGCTGCGACATCTGTCTTGGCTACCACAATGCCGCGAGCTTCCTGGCTCGGTCTTCGGCTTTGTTTGGTGGCAGCAATGGCATCCCGAATGGCATGAGAAACCTTGGACTTGGATTCAGAGGCGCTGAGCTCATACCATTCATCTTCGTTGTCCTTCTTTTGTTTCAGGAATCGTCCTCCTGAAGCGTGAATCACAGACACAAGACGAGCCGCAACAAGGGACTTTTCCCACTTGGAGGTAGCTTGGCGGTATTCATCAATCGATTGGGAGATGATGTGACGGAATCGACGGTTGCCACTGTGGTTGAAAGAGATCTTTCCCCGCCCACAAAGGACATCGTTTGGTCGGATAGCAAGGCTGCCAATGGATCCAGAAGCAGATTGGCGAGAAACTTTGTTTCTGTTCATCATCCTGTCGCCAGTGTCAATGGATGTGTTGTGGAATGAACTCAAGTTCATTGGGACACCTCTGTTGGTTGTTGCTGTGGCAAAGTTCATCATGGCAGCTGGGTTCAGCGTGGCGTTGTTGGTGAAAGGGTACATGATTGCTGTTGTTGGTTGCTTCAGTGACGGTAGCAATGCGAGAGTGTTTGAGGCTCTGGAAATTGAAATTTGTGAGAACGTTGGAATGCTAGCGGTGAGTGATGGCCAGAGCATCGGCTGATTCGATAACAGCCTCTGCCTGGAGAACGAACTCTAACAAACAAAACTTGCCTAATCCCAAAATGTTGTGGGCGTCTTTTTCCTCACTATGCGTTTGCGGTACAGAAGACAAAACTGGTACTTGCAAAGAATGAATGTCCGAGTGTGCTCAAAATCCCAGCAAAAAGCCGTCTACAGAGAGTTTGCTAGGCAAGACATATTCAATCTTTTCAAAGATCCCTTCCTCTAATTGTAGTTACTTGTGCAGAGTTCTTTCCTTCAAGAAATCACTATACAAGCTTTCCCATTAGATTTAACCCCCAAGACACTCTCCTTGAGCGTCTGCATCCATCGGTACGGCATCTAAAATACAACAGGGAGTCAACAGCTTGCCCAGATCTTGCTTGCACATTGTACCCCCAAAAAAGAAACATTCCCAAGATCTTCATTATCTCCACACTCTTGTTTCCTCGCAGTACTACGAGTAGGATCTAGTAGCTCTCCGATCAAAACACGGCAAAATCATGAGTCAATGGACAACTGGCACCTATGTCATCTATATTCGGGAGCAATTCAATCGCTCTTCGCTGTCGGAAATTGGATTAACTCTGACTCTTAGCATTAAGATACATTTGATAAAGTATCAAGTCTGCAAAAAGAGAAATAGATTGGCACTGATAGATAGCCAGATTTCAAACTAATATTGACACTGACAGTTAGATTTCACACTAACAGGTATTTCACCATATTATGAAATTATAATCTGAAAGGACTAGACTAGTTGATAAAATGGAATTTGATCAACTTTTCAGAAGGTTTCAAGTTGGTTTTCTATTACCCATAGATATCTTATCAAAGAGGTATCAATATCGATTCTCAAATTCTGCAGGAAGAGGAAGAAGATGAAATCTACAAGAGCACAGTGAGTGGTACCACTATCATTGTAGCTCTGCGTACAGTACTTAGAAAATGAGTAAATAAATGTAAAGTACATGTACCTGGTACTTATTCGGAGTACTCATTGCCTTATAGATTATGCTGGGAGCTAATCGTAAAAAGGTAGAATTCCATGTTGCTTTCTCTTTGTTACAGTCGAGGTACTGTACCACTCTGTGTGCACCTTTCTTAAAATGACAGAGCAAGAACTATAAAGAAGGGCCGCACAAGACACCTTTGCAAGATACTAGTACTCTCCTCCACTGGCTTTTCTTACGATTAGGTTTATACCAAAGCGCCTCATTTTTCTTGTTGGATCTTGCTAGGTGGAGCTGCTCGTAATGAGTCGGGGCTCGAGCAACTGCTGCTGCATGCTGCGGCACAATTGAGAATCACAGTGTCTACCTTCAACCGCACTGCTGTCGACATGTTCAAGGCCGGTAACTTGGTTGCCCTTCTGCGATCACCACCACAGCTCTCCAGAAACAGCCGCCCACGAGCCACGAGCATTAGACTGGTCGTGGGTCGTACCGGTAGGCAGCAGCGGGAAGGCCAGCAATAATTCGCAGCCACTGGCTGGGAAGTAAACCTAATACTCAGCAAGCTGTCTAACAGGATGCCATCAAAAAGATCTTCTGCCTTGAGAGAGATCTTGAGAGTCAGGATGAGTCGACATCAACTAACTGTGAACGACGACTGTTCATACTAGGCCCTTGGGATCTTGAAATCAGGACCTGCTCGCACGTGAAGACGTCAACCGGCCTGATCTTTCTTCGCCCAACAATCATCAAAGCAATTGGTTGGTGTACAACCGGTACATGAGAACTGTGAATCAATCGCAAGGCTACAGCTCTCTGGCTGGCTGTGGAGGCCCAGCTAGCTTTGGAAGTACTAGTAGCATATACGACTTGCGTGGCAACACGAAAAAGACAACGTAATAGCAATGGATGTCACGCCAAATAAACTGGTACTAGCTACCTGGTAGCTAGCTAGTAGCCATTAGACGGCGCACTGCTAAAAGGCTGTGCTGCTAATAAAGGATGCGGTACAGCAGTAGGCGGTACCGGTGTTCGTAATGGTCCTTACCAGCTAGTTCTAGTCGTAACTTGAATGGCAAGCAAGATCTTTCCTTTAGCGGGCCTCTACTAGTAGTGCGGTAGCTACCTGTACGGCTGTACCGGTGCCGATACCGCATGATTGCAGGAGGAGCAAGAGCCTTGGCAATCGATTCGCTGCGCCAATAGCTATCGGGGTCAATACTGTAGCTAGCCAGGAACCAGCACTCACTGTTACGAGGACACCACTCAATACCGGGAGCAGTAATCATGTTCGGCAAGATTTCTCCCACCATAGACAGCAAAGCTCAAACACCTACTCATATTCCAAATCAGATTCAGGCTGCCGAAGGCATGAGCCCTCAACGAGTTTGAAATGGATTGGCAGACTACTACTGCGTTTAGTAGCCTGTCTTGGATAGCTAGGGGTAGCCAGCCATCTGTTCTTCTTTTGGTGGATATTTTTATTAGGGTTAGATCTAAAAAGGCTAACAGACGTACAAGATTAAAGTGGGTTTTGGATGGGACCATGCTTTATCCAGTGTAAATTTCTTGAAAAACATTTTTAACCCACTTTGTACTGTATGGATTGTCCCAAATGACTAACTTACCTAACAACAAGTCGCGAATTTCAAGCAATTTCACTCATATGAATACCACTGTGTTGCTCATGTTAAACAGACAAACTCTAGTTTAGTTTATATGTTAAGGCTTGATCCCCTTCTGCTACTTATATTGAGTTTAGGGTTTAATTGTGCACGGACACTTTCTAAGACATTCCCCTAAAAAGTGACTGGGACAACAGTCCTTTAATCATTTGTACTGTGTTTTATATAGTAAATTGGTGTTGTCCCAAAACGCCCGTGCAAAATGCACTTTAATTCTGTACACACTAACTTGCAGACAGACGTACACACTAACTTGCAAACAGACGTACACACTAACTTCTCTGTAGAAACTCTACTGAGGGCTTCATCTGTTACACACTAACTGGCATGCAAATAAAATTCACAAGGGCCCTAACCAACTTGAGGGCTATTCTATCTTCTCGACGCTCGTGCAATGCTATTGCGGTACTGTACTGGACCGTCCGACGGTTTTCCCTCAGGCTTTAAAACTGCCACGACTGGTTCTGGTTCTAAGGGCATGTTTTAAGGGCATGTTTGTATAAGGGCATGTTTTAAGGGCATGTTTATTTAAGGGCATGTTCATTCGTGATAAGGGCATGTTCTATGGCGTTTCAATGAAGGCTAAAGGGCATGTTTCGAGGCATTAGGGCATGTTTTAAGGGCATGTTTATATAAGGGCTTATTTAAGGGCATGTTGAAGATTCAAGGGCATGTTTCAAACGGTCCTCAGTGGTGGAAATTTCAATTTTGTTTTAAAGCCTGATTGAAAACCGTCGGACGATCCTGTACCGGTCTAGCGGTGCTTCGTATCTGGTACAGACTTTATCCCAATTTTTTTGACCGAATCTTAACCCTCAGGTTTACCTGCAAAAATTTGAATGGAGAGGTCAAGAATCGGAAAAAGACATCTGGCAGCAAACTAACATCACCTAATACCATGATAGATGCACTTACAAGCTACCCTGCTTGTCAGCTCTTGTCGGCAAAGTTGATACCATCAACAATGAGGATCTGACTGGTTTTTTAGTCGATACATTGACAGCGACAAGTGTCTGATAAGGAGATAATGATGCTGTTTCGGTGTCCCTCCAAGTCAGTCGCTGTCACTGCTGTCAGCCGGAGCTGCATTATCCTCTTGAAGACTCTTCAAAAAACCTTCCTTGTCCGCTTTGGATAGCCCACGGACGAGTCTCTTGGCTCTGTCAACCTCAAAGGCCCTTTGACGTCCATAGTCTGTGTCATCGAGTGCAATGTCACCATCAATCTTCTTCTTCGGCTCTACGAGAGTCTCTTCATCGGCATCAGTCCAAGGCACAAACTCTGGAGGATTCTTAGTCTTGAGCTCTCTCCACTTGGATACTTTTTCTGGTATATTCTTGAGAGCACCAGGCAAAGTCTTTTGGTCAAGCTTCCAACAGATGAGATGCCTCAGCTGTGGGTTGGTGTAATCCTCGACATTTGCCACCGTTTCCTGTTCAAGGATTTGGAGAGCAATGCAATACACGGCTCTTAGCCTTATTCGCGACTCGATCATAGATAGGGTTTGAGTTCGACTCGTGACGTAGTCCCTCGCGAATAGTTATTGAGACAGGGTTCTCATGACTGCTAGTCCTACTAGGTTGTCGATGAAACATCGCTCTAGATATTTAGCCTGCGTGGAAAGCTTCCACGCTACTAGACAGCAACTAGCTGAAGTTTCCACGCGTTCCGGAAATGGACCGTGGAGTACATACAGTTATTACCATAACCTACGATATCACACTTCGAGGCCTCCCGCGGGAGACCAACTTCAATGAGCTTCACAACGATCTCTCTCATGGATTAGTTTTCGTAGCTTTCTAATCTCTCTCATAACTTTCATTCTCTCAAACTCAAAACACTCGAAAGATCTTTACACTAGCTTTTAGCGTAGTGCATTTTGTTAACAAACACAATAGCTTTCAGCTACCCTCAACATATTCCTTCACCATGAAGATTGCTCAAGGAAAGCATGCGTTCAGCAACTTCGAGAAACAGTTGCGTGACAAATCCATTCTTCCTTTCGTCGACAATGACGAAGAAAACGAGGTCGACGACTCTCGTGCAACCACCTACAAACTTCGCACCATTCTTGCAGATGCAAACAGTGCCAAGTACACCTTCAAGGTAGCCATCATCAATGGCTCTAACACTCCACGTGAGACCACTAAGTGGGCCACTAATATGGAGAAGGTCTTCGTTGGACTTAACCTTGGTGGTCCCGACGACAAACATAGTCTTCTCAAAGAGATGGCTTCCAGCT